AACAATAGGCCCTCCTATCCATCCTGCTCTTCTTTCCTTTCCTCTTACTCCATTCATGGCTCATTTCATCCATTCAATGGGTTTGACTCCTGTGTTTCTGTAATAGCCAATTTGATTTTTCCTTCATTGAAGACTTAATCAATGTCTCCTTTGGAAGGAGCTCTGCAGACACGAAAGAGGCTGATTTACAGCATCTGGTAGTCGAATTCATTTGTAAAAACACAACTTTACATTTCAGGCTGCTGTTGTCAGATTTACTCTTATTACTGTGGTTTATTAATGTGAGGGAGGAGCCAAGCTCTTTAATGGATTTTTTTCCTACTTTATATATAGAAAAGTTATAAATAATGACTTTCTTTAGCTTCCTGGCTGAACAGGTGTCACCATGAGACAGAGGCTGTTGTTCCTGGTTTGTGTCATAGCGGCTTCTTGACCCTGGGCAGATTAAGAACATGGGACTCACCCTGGACCAGAGAAAAACCTCCCCCCTCCCCCACTAGGGGCGGGCTCCAAAACAGAGCAAGTTCCCATTGACTCCCATATTAAAATTGCCAACTTCACAACAGAAATAAACATGCTTACAGCACTACAAGCTAGCTTTGGGTGATGCCTCAGCCTCTGCCTCATTTCAATTTTCTGAACTTGACCATCAGTTGACTCTTTGTGTATATAAGATGTTAATTACAGTTGTGGTCAGAAGTTTACATACACTTGTAAGAAATATAATATAATGGCTCTACTGAGTGTCCCGTTATTTCTAAAACTCTGATTTTTCTCTGATAGAGTGATTGGAACAGATACTTCTTTGTCGCAAAAAACATTAATGAAGTTTGGTTCTTTAATGTCTTTATTATGGGTTAACAGAGAAAAGTGATCACATTTGCTGGGTCACAAATATACATACAGCAGTGCTGATATTTGGTTACATGTCCCTTAGCCATTTTCACTTCAATCAGGCGCTTTTGGTAGCCATCCACAAGCTTCTGGCAAGCTTCTGGTTGAATCTTTGACCACTCCTCTTGACAAAATTGGTGAAGTTCAGTTAAATTTGATGGCTTTCTGACATGGACTTGTTTCTTCAGCACTGTCCACATGTTTTCAATGGGGTTTAAGTCAGGACTTTGGGAAGGCCATTCTAAAACCCTTATTCTAGCCTGATTTAGCCATTCCTTTACCACTTTTGATGTGTGTTTGGGGTCATTGTCCTGTTGGAACACCCAACTGCGCCCAAGACCCAACCTTCGTGCTGATGATTTTAGGTTATGTTGAAGAATGTGAAGGTAATCCTCCTTCTTCATTATCCCATTTATTCTCTGTAAAGCACCAGTTCCATTGGCAGCAAAACAGCCCCACAGCATAATATTCCCACCACCATGCTTGACTGTAGGCATGGTGTTCTTGGGGTTAAAGGCCTCACCTTTTCTCCTCCAAACATATTGCTTGGCATTGTGGCCAAAAAGCTCGATTTTCGTTTCGTCTGACCACAGAACTTTCCTCCAGAAGGTCATATCTTTGTCCATGTGATCAGCAGCAAACTTTAGTCGAGCCTTAAGGTGCCGCTTTTGGAGCAAGGGCTTCCTTCTTGCACAGCAGCCTCTCAGTCCATGGAGATGCAAAACACGTTTGACTGTGGACAATGACACCTGTGTTCCAGCAGCTTCTAATTCTTGGCAGATCTGCTTTTTGGTGATTCTTGGTTCACTCTTTACCCTCCTGACCAATTTTCTCTCAGCAGCAGGTGATAGCTTGCGTTTTCTTCCTGATCTTGGCAGTGATGAAACAGTGCCATGCACCTTATACTTACAAACAATTGTTTGCACTGTTGCTCTTGGGACCTGCAGCTGCTTTGAAATGGCCCCAAGTGACTTTCCTGACTTGTTCAAGTCAATAATTCGCTTTTTCAGATCCATGCTGAGCTCCTTTGACTTTCCCATTGTAGCGTTTGTGGGCGTTTGTATCCAATGAGCCCTATTTACCTGGCCTAAGAGAAGTCACCAGCTGTAGTCACTCATAATCGCTCACAAGAAGTTAAGAGGCCATGCTATGAAGCTCAGTTCACTGACACGTTTCTAAGTCACCTAAATTGCTAGTTCATGTTGCTGTATGTATATTTGTGACCCAGCAAATGTGATCACTTTTCTCTGTTAACCTATAATAAAGACATTAAAGAACCAAACTTCATGAATGTTTTTTGTGACAAAGAAGTATCTGTTCCAATCACTCTATCAGAGAAAAATCAGAGTTTTAGAAATAACGGGACACTCAGTAGAGCCATTATATTATATGTTTTACAAGTGTATGTAAACTTCTGACCACAACTGTATAAGACGAAGATGGCTAGCTGTGGTAATTGGTTGCACAAACAAGCCATCCAAGAAATCTCTGCTCCCTTTTATTTGGTGAGTAAAATTACATATCTGTTTTTTTAATTTGCTGACTGAACAGGGTAAAATCCTGTGGGTCAAAATGGAACATGTTGGTGCGTCTGGGTAACAAAACTCAGCAAAGCAGGAGCTGCTGCGTGTTTTGGTCCCCTGGCTCTGATCGCTGTGGAGGGAGGCTGTAGTTGTGCTGCCTGCCTGTGGAGCTCTCTGAGGGAGACTACAGAAACACCACGACTTGGCGAGTTAATGCTTGCGTCACACTAGTCACTCAACCACAGTGTTCTGGTTAAAAGCACCCACAAACCTGCAATAGCTTCGATTAGCTCAGTTAGCTCTTTTTTACATCAGCTCACAGTTTGATGGGCGTCAATCATCTGCCCACATTTTCTCATCCCCACTCTCAGCTCCACCTCTTTGACCATTTTTGCATTGTCTGGGACTGACGGGACGTGTGACGTGGCCAAGATGGCAGTGGAGGGAACCGCCCATTGGGCTTCGGTTCGGCTCTTCATGAACCTACTTTTGATGTCAGGGCGAGTTGGCCCATTATTTCTACATTCACTTTTACTTTCATGATGTCACGGATACAGCTTAATTCTGGTTCAGAATCACAATAAAAATCTAAATATTATATTTTATGAAATAAAAAATAAAGTTCCTTATTTTGTTTTCAACATTATTTATTTATTTATTTAAGAATTAAATAGAAAACAACAAATTTTAGCATGGCGTCCAGCCACAGTGGTGGTGGTTGGACTAGACGTTAGCTCATCAGTCCTAATGGATGTAATCTTTGCTTCCCCAAACAAATTCCATTTTAATGAAAAAACATTTCAGAAGTCTCTAGGTATCTCTTAAAATCAGCATTATGATTGAGTTTGCATATTTATTAAATCAAAAAGTAAAAACTTTGAAGCTGCTGCCTCTGACACAGCTGATGACCCGTAAATGTTTCTTGTTTTCAGATTCAAGCTTCTTAGATGGATTTTTGTTTCAACATATTACCATTTTAATAGAAGCAAAAGCAAAAAGCCATGTAGCTCCTAAAGACCACGGATGTGACATTAACATTTAATGATTAATCGATCCGGAACAATGTGTTTTCTTTCCTCCCGAAACAGAAAAGTTCAGATATCTTCAGATGTTGTGACTTTACGGTTTAAATGAGTTAGACTATTAAGATCTGAATAAAACAAAGAAGAGTTACATTTGTTATTTTTAATTCAACATCTGCTGTTTTAATTCCTCTTATCCAAAAAAAATAAAAACCCCATCAAAGTCAAGTTTCTGTTTGCCGAACAGCAGGACCCGAGTCAAGGACAAGTCAATCCATCGATGCGTTTAGTGTTTGGCCCTCGGGGTTCAGGTGGAGCTGCCTTGGCTGTGTGCGATAAGAGCTGGCCCCCGCGAGCCCCTGGAAGTTCCTCTGGGGCCTCGTTTTTAAATAACCCAGGACTCACAAAAGCTGGGGAGCTCATCAGAGGTAGTGAAAGGATGAGGAAGGAGAGGAGGAAGGCGGGGGAGAGATACGCATGTAGACATCTGAATGCAAGCACAGATCTGTCAGTCTTCACAGCCCCCCCCCCCCCCCCCCCCCCCCCCCCCCCCAGCCTGTCCCTCTCTCCGACCGGGGCTTCCTTCAGATTGAATGGCTGTCTGATAAGAGCTGTGATTACATTGATTTGATGTAGGGCCATCTCCCTCCCTGCCTTCACCTTGTACCCTTCAGTAGACTCCCTCCACTCAGCTCCGACTGCTCTGAACACAGAAAACAGTCATGGTGAAGACTAGGTCATAACGCTTGGATATCTGGTGTAGATGTAGATGAATCCTTACATGTTGCTCCTGAAGCAGGTGCTGGAAGCCAAACATAACTGATTTTTCATCCCTACTGTGCAGCTGACACAACATAAATAACATTCTTGGTTCACGTTTTGTCACATCTTTGTTCTTATCAATGATTCCCAACAACCAAACGTGCCCCACATCTCTGCTCTCGTCTGACGCTCAGGCTCTCCGGCTGTCCTAGATCTGAAGTGACGGCTGATGCTGCTTCTACACGTTGGATGTCGTTCAGATTGTGTTCCTTCATCCGCTTTCTCCACAAACACAAGTCTCAGGCCTCAGCGGGGCTCAGGACGCTGACTTGCCAAGCTGCGTCTCAGTTGTTGCTTGGCTGGCTGTCACAATGAAAGCATAGCAGTGTGTGTGTGTGTGTGTGTGTGTGTGTTTTGCCTGGAGATGACATAATTCATAAAAAGGAATCACTAGAATAGTTGCAGCTCTGAATCTCTGGGGATGATGCGATCAGGCAGGTTGAGATTAGACAGTAGTTTTTATGTGATAAAGATCAAAAACAGACCAACAGAAGGGATCCGGCTCTTCCACCGTTCTTTAAAGGGCATGATGCATGTCTGGTGCCCTGTGATGACTTTTCATGTGGACTTGACCCCAAAACTGGTACCAGTCCTGGGATATTAATCGTTTATAACCTGGAGACAGTCAGGAGTGTCCCACCTCTCACCTGCTGGTCTGTACCCATGCAGATTCATAAAGCTGGCTTTTGGGAGTCAGAGCGTTTAAAGCAGAGGTTAAATATACTTTTACGAGTCTTACCGCTCAGCAGGGGCTGGTTGCGTCTGTATGTTGCAGGAAGAGGGCCCAAACGCTCCTGACGCTGGTTCAGAACCCGGCCCAGATGGCCCGTGTGATGCAGGCTGCCAACTGTCAGGCTGTGCAGGTACACCGGCTCTATAAAGTGGCTCAGCAACGCCCCCTGTAGGCCCAGGATGTTCCACCTGAGTGGAGCAGACGGGAAATAATCAATAAAAAAAAAAGAATAAGTTGTGTTAAAGAAAGGAAAGATGGATGGAGGGAGGGAGGGGGGGAATATAGGTGGAAGGAGAGGTGAAAGGGACGGGAGGAAATAGGTAGACTGACAGACACGAGAGCGTCGATGACAGGTGGAGACAATTTGATCATTATCTTGATGTGGGACGTGATGAATAGCAGCCTCTGTGCTCACGGTGAACACACACACACACATGCACTCACACACGTGCACACGCACACTCACACACACCCTCTCCTCCCAGACACAAACCATCATCGCCAACAACAACACAGCCAAAGGTCAGTGCATCAGCATTCATTACATGGAACAACACATTAGCAGGCGTGCATTCATCAGTGCCACGGGGGTTAATGCACCGTACGGCGCTGCAGGGGAGCCTCCGGCTGCACGTGGGGGACGATCACCTCCAGGTTTGTTCAGCCAGACTCGTGTGACACAGAAACCAGCGTGGGGCTGATCCTGCCGTCCACACCGACACCTGAACATGTAGCCGGCTGGTCATGTAACCCCCCCCCCCCCCACACACACACACACACACACACGCACTGACACTATTTAAGCAGCAGATGCTAATTTGATGATGGAGAATGATAATAACCAGGTTTATAACCATTCCCAGCATCCGTCACAGGAGAGGAGGTGTGCAGATACCTGAGCTGGGTCTATGTGAGCTGCAATCAGAGGCTCAACATTACGCAACCGGTTTTTACATCGTTGTTCTTTTTGTTAATCAATGTCTCTTTATCATGAATGCAATTACAGCGGCCGCTTGTCTTTGCCTCTTTTCTTTTTTCTACCCTCACTGCCTTAATAATCACTCATTACAGCTCCTTTTGCTTCCAAAGCAGTCCATTAACACCAGCGGCTTTCTGGGATGTGCACAAAGCAGCAGCCGCCTGCGTCCGCTCTACCTGAAATCTGTCAGCGAGATCTGTCCTTCCCTCCCAAGCAGAGAGGAGGAGCTTTGTGTTCCACCAGCACTAACAAAGTTTGGGCTGAAATATTAATTTACTCCGAACGCAGCACCGTGAATCAGAAACATCTTCTAATCTCATGCAAGAAGAGACAGCCATCTGGCTCGGTGTGTGAGTCTGGAGAGGGGAGAGGGATGAGACCTCTTCTTTCTCTCCCTGCATCCATCGTTTCCTCACTCCTCCAGTAAATGCAACCATTAAAGTAATGTGTTCATCTGCATAAAACTGCGATGGAATTGACAACATCATCGTTATATGAAAGCCATTTAGGCCCCTCAATTAAATCCAGCTGCCGACTTCAAATCAAATATTAGCGGAGCAGCTTCGGTGGGCGCAGCTTAAGAAAACAAAACGATGACGATTGGCTCAGACAATAAGAAGTGTCATCAGGGATGTTTATGATACAGCCAGAGCTCCTAATATCCCCTCTGGTCTGAGCTGAAACTACTATAATAAAGTGCAGGAAGTGAAGGGAGTGAGGGAATAAAAAAGTAATGGGAGGTTACAAAACGAGTGTGACAGAGGACAAAAGAGTATCCAGGGGATCACTTCAAGATTGCAGAGGTGTGTGTGTGCGTTTGTGTGTGTGTGTCTGCTGCCGTAAGCTCCTCTCAGTTCCGCCCTCCTCCCCTGACCTTGATAAACCGGCCCTCAGTGACCCACTCACTCTGACGGTGGCCACTGATCATTTACAGCTATAAAGAAGAAAAGAAAGAAAGAGGAAGCTGGAGCAAAGAGAGCACATCTGCCATCTTCAAATGGCAGGGTGGAGAGTGAAAGGATGGCGGGAGGGATAAAAAACAGGATGTCCCCTCTCTCCCTCCATTTTTTTGTGAAGTAATTGCTTTCACCCCTGTTGGTGACCTGGGTAGATTTAATCACACCATCTCCAGCCCCGGCCAACTGAATCAAATTGGTCAAATTAACAGCGGCTACATGGGAGAGGGGTTCACCTCCCACTCGCACCCTCCTGTTAGCTCCCTCTCTGTTTCCACCAGCTCACACACACACACACACACACACACACACACACACACACACACACACACACACACACACACACACACACACACACACACACACACACACACTGGCTCAGCTGTGGGCTGTATGGCTCAGTTGGCACAGTGTGGCGCTTGCTAAGCTAAATTCACGCTTTCGGCTCCTGCCGAGTCTGAGCAGAAAAACTGAGACTATGTTAGAAAATGATTCCAGATAATTCAGAAAATCAAGTCTGAAGGTGAAGAATCTCTGCGGATGCATGTCCTGTGTGTGTTACACATCTATGAAAATGAGACCGTAATTAGAGTGAGTCCGTTTTTTGGAGGTGATCAAACAAAAATCATTTTATGTTTGTTTTCTCGTAACAAAACAGGAAGTTGGATGCTTTGAGATGAGCCCCAGAAACAATGAAGTTAATCTCCCTTTTGTCCATACTTGATGTAAACTCTCTGTGGTAAATGTTTGTAGTATTGAGATCCAGTAGGAGTAAAATAAATAATTTATCTATAGTGAGACCAGTGTCAGAGTTACACAGTTCCACCAGATTAATGTGGTCATTTCCCAGTCCTGCATAAATAAGGAGATCATTCATTCATGGGATCTTCTGATTTGTCTTCCAACACATTTAAATTAGAACAATAACACAAAAGAAAAATTACAGAATGCCGCCATGATGGATCTTTGCCTTGGTGGTGGTGAACCCTCTCACATGTCAGTGAGTCCCAGCGTAGCTGTGGCTACAATAGCTCATCACCACAAGTGTGTAAATGTGTGTGTGTGTGTGTCTGTGTGTGTGTGTGCATGGGTGAATGAGTCGTATGTGTTGTAAAGCACCTTGCATTTATCACATACAGGCCATTTACCATTTGCATGGACCAGATTCTAAAGGTTAAATGGAACATGCTCTAGAGTGCTTTCCCCACTAAGGTAGGGTTAGAGGTAGATTTTGGTCCATTTCCAAATCCAGCTGAGTGCCAGAGCCTGCTTCCCTCCACCATTAAGATCCAAACAAGGAGGAATAAGGTAAAAGGTATGGAGAAGCATTTCTGAATCAGCCACTTACGGCATGTACCTTTTAAATCCACCTTAAGTAAATCAGCAGAACCCAGTGAGTAAAAGGTTTATATGGTGGCGTGTTAGTTAGTGAAGAGTCAATCCTAGAGATTACAGAGATTACAAGGAAGATGTGATTAATGCACCAATTCATTAGAATGGGATTACCAAGGTAGGTCACACACGGGAAATCAATAGTCACTGTCTGGAGCTCACGGACACACACACCTACACACATGCACGCACACGTGCACGCATGCACGCACGCACGCACACACACACACACACACACGCACACACACACACACACACACACACACACACACACACACATTAGGTAAATAGCTGGGCTCATAAACCACATTTATTCCTCCTCATAAGGACGTTAATCTCACAGTAACGTTAACCTTTTCACCACTCCGTTTACCTTTCCTTCCCTTATTAGACGCAACAGATATCTCTTGGGAGATGGTGTGTGTGTCTGCAGCTCCATCTGCCCAGTCAGTAATAACTATACTTCTCATTCATACAGTTAGAAACAAGCATGGCCTCACAAAAATGTATTTGTTCACATAGTTTGACTCAGGTGAAGCGCTGACCTGGTGATCTTGTCAGTGCAGGACATGGTGATGAGCTGCTCTCCTTGTAAGACACCGTCCCACGCCTGGACAGGCCCCCGGAACCGCAGCGGCACCGTTCCCTCTCCGGACTCGATCTTAGTGCGGAGGTGGCTCCGGTGCTTCCTCATGAGGTGTCTGCTGCTGTGCACTGGAAACAACACACACCGTCAGCCCTCATCTGTGATTGCACGCTGCTTGTTTCCACAACTGGACCAGTGCACGTTAAATAAGAGTTGTTCTCTGCATGTTTTACAGTGTGTTTTACTTTGAACAAGCTGCAGATAATTACAGAAAAAAATAAAAATGCCTGATTGTTTTCAGGATGAAGTTTAAATTCCACAAACTTAATTTTTTTCAGTTTTGGATCCAGTTTTACCAGCACTCTGTGTTTTAAGTCCATGTGTGTGTGAGTTCTCATGTTCTATCTACATGAGTGTCCTTTAAAGGCAACAGAAAAGTCTGGGTTTGTTTTGTTAACGTCTGATGGATGAATCCCCCCTTCAGAGCTGCTCCTGGGGTCCAACAGGAGCTAAAACCTCAGCTCCAGCTTCAGTCGGTCAAAGGTGTGAGGAATCTACTAAACTCTCTCTCACTTACAGGCCTGATGATGGCGCTTCTCTCTCTTTCATTTCCCACGAACCCTTGGGTTTATGTTTTAAACTCAGGTCACAGAACAAAGACAGGAAGGTAGGAAGTAGCTGGGCTCTTACGATCACTGGTGATTTCGTAGGGCGAGTTGAGCCTCCCGTCTCCACACGGTGACGTGCTGATGTACATGTGGAAGTGGACGTTGTCTCTCAGCCTGTAGCCGCGCTCTTTGTGGCGGACGAATATCGACTCCTCCCAGTCTTCTATCCTTTTACTTCAGCCAGAAAAATAAAGAAAGAGCCACAAGGAGAGAGACCGATGAGGAGGAAGACCCGGTCATCACAGCAAAGGAAATAGATTTCCACTTTTCTTTCGCAAAGATGAGAGGAGGAAGAGACAGAGAAAGATGGACTCTGGCTCTCTCTCTCTCTCTGACTACAACCCATTATGTTTGTGTCAAACTGAGTCCTCGCCATGACTCAGCTTCTCTTTAGCTGTGCTCCAGACTCAACAACAGACCAATACACACTAATGTGGAAGTTACCAATATTAGAACGTTTTAAATACACTTTTACTTAAGAAAATAACAGAAAAGCTCCACAGACACAAGAAACAAGCTGATGCTGCGACTCATATTTTATGTAGACGAGTACAGATGACCCTGAACAATCTCGTTGTACGTGCACAATTCGTAAAACAATGGAGGCCTTTTCTGTTCTGGGAGGATTTCTACGAATAGATTTAAAATCCATTTTAAGTGTCCAAAGTCAGACACTTAAAGAATGAGGGGAGTCCTATCGTGGACTGATGCGGTTAACTCTGCTGAACACGAGTACCCATACATCCTGACGCCAGGCACCAGCGCTCTCCTTGCCTCACCTCTCCCGTGCCTCTGATGTCCTTTCACTGAGTGTAAATAAGGCACATGTGGCATTTTGTTCGGCCCTTTCATTATAAATGATCGTCCTCATTAGCCATTTTCCTCAGCAGAAAAGTCCCTGTACCGGCCATCTTTCATTGTCCTAAGACAAAAAGTCACTGCTGTGTATGCAAATATGACATTCAGCCATTAGACTTTTTCACTAATCTGATGCATCGGCCTTGCACTGAGCTCCCCAGGGAGGAGGAAAGTATGATATTCTCCTGCACAGGATGCAGGTAAACACCACCATCCTGAAACTGGTGAGGGTTGATGGATGTGTGCACCAGAGCAAACTGTTCTAGCTGTGAACACAAAAACAAACAGCTAATTCAATTCAATTCAAATTCAAAAATACTTTATTGATCCCAGAGGGAAATTGATTCAACCATAGGGTACCTCCTAGCCAATAGCGAGGTCAGATTAATTCAAATGTAGAGCAGAGTTTTTATCTGAAGAGGGTGCAACACTGACAAGTTTTAGGCAGAATATTTAAATTTTAACTAAGATGCACTGAAGTGCTAACCTGGTAAGCCAGACTAAATAAATGTATTATTTAGTCTGGCCACGCTCCATTGACGGCTCTCGGTTGTGGGGCGGGTTCTACCGTTGTCTTTCTGCATTCCACTGGACAATGAATGTGACATACTCTTGTTTCACTCTGTTGCATCATCCCACCCACCAGGCATATAGAGTGCCCTGATTGGCCCACAAAGCAGATAAAGCTCTGTGATTTGATCACCAAGCAGATAGAGCACTATGATTGGCCCACCATTATGGACCAATCACAGCTCTTTATGTGTTTGAAACCCCTCTAGAGAGCTGTAATTGGCTAGCCAGAGTCCGGGTAGGAGCTGCGGAGGTTCCAGTGGAGCGTGCCTAGACCATTCTTTGCAAAGCAAGAATTTGGTCTAGTTCACTAGGCTACTGAAGTGCCAAAATTATTGACTAAACGTGCCTACAGCATGATTAGACACTCATTTATATAGTTTATAAACAAAAAAAGTGGATTTGGGAGTGACTTGCTCTTAAACTCTTCTAGGATGTGTTTTCTATAAATGAGGGCACTTTCCCTCACCCTTCAAAGCAGATCTTGCAGAGAACCATCAGGCTGAGATTAGGGGTTCACATCTGAACTACAGCTGTAGTCAGTCCCTCACTTTGCTGCAGCTGAACCAGGAGTTTCCAAAATGTCTACCAAAGGTTCTGGATGCCTTTGTACAGACACTAGAATTTTAAACTGCATGATAAACATCCTCCCCCAAATAGATACAGAGGGATTGTGCTGACAGAAATCCTGCAGGAACACTTCTCTTATGTGGTCAGTTTCTACAAGTCAGGAGTGGAAGAAAAAAAGACATTTTGTGACATGAAATAACATCGTGTCTGCAGCTATCCAGCAACAGGTTAAAACCAGTAAGAGACTGGTCTGATCCCATCAAGGAAGGTGGGCTGGCACTCATGATGCTGCCACCACTGTGCTTCACTGTTGTAGATGCAGCAGAACCAAACAACGTGTGTGTGTGTGTGTGTGTGTGTGTGTGTGTGTGTGTGTGTGTGTGTGTGTGTGTGTGTGTGTGTGTGTGTGTGTGTGTGTGTGTGTGTGTGTGTGTTTAAAGGCACAGAGCGCAGGTTGCTGCACTACTATTACAATTATGTTTTGGGTCATTTATTGAAAATCAAGCAGATATTTTGAAAGATGCCGACTAACTCCAGCGGTGCAACGAAGCTTCTTTATTCTCAAGGTTTAATGAACCGATTTTGTTTTTATATAAAAAGATTATTCTGAAAAGAGCGATTCCAGAGTAATGCAGTACTTCTACTTTTCATCCTAATTAAGAAAAGCAAATAAGCAGACTCAAGGGAAGTCATTAGTAATTTAGTGTAACCGAGTCATTAAGTGAAATAACTATGTTACATGTGACCTTTGACATTATGGTCATATCAGATGAGGTCAAAGCAGCTGCGGTTAATGATTTCAGCTCCTGTACGTTCTGACACTTTCATTTGTTGATTTATTTCCAGGTTCAGTCACAAAAATAACCAGTAAAGATGGAAACCATAGCTGTAACTGCACAGCCAACTGCAATCAACAGCCTCCAGATGCAGCTAAATATCAGTCAAGTTTCTGGTGATGAGAAATGCAAATGCCGTCAGACCACAGACGTTTAGAGTTTAGATCTCTCACCTCAAGAAGAGTTCCAGTTGAGAGTAGAGGAAGCGCAGCAGAGCTCTACGAGCTGTGACCTCAGCGTGACAGTCATTGACCACCTGTCCTTGATCACTCAGGTATTCCCCGTTGATACATTTGGTGCCTGTGGCGAGTGCCACCACCTGGGCGCGCCTCAGGTCCAGATCTGTGGAGCACAAACAGACAAGGCTTCTTATTGCCTATGCTCATCTAGATTCTTTATTATTAAGAAAGTAATTTTGCATGAGACAAAAAAAAAAATTACAAATCAACGGATTGAAATCAAGTTACTCATTTAAAGGTAAAAAAATATGGAAAAGTTTAGTAAAATATATATATATTTAAAAATAATACCTCAACGGGGCATTTGGAGGTGTGCAGAACAGAGGGACAGTATTTCCTATAATGGCTATTTGTTAATTAAAAACAATAACCTACTATTTTTTGACAGGCACAACGTTGGGTTTATGTTTACATCTACCAGCCACTAGAGGGCACCGTTGTGGGTTGTCAAACAGCGAGGCTGGAAAATGGCCGACTCTGTAAGTAAAGCAGCTGTTTCTGAGACCAGAAGATGTTGTTATCCTTCCCAGAAGAGAGTGAGTTTAGGTGAGGCCTACAACAGAAAAATGTGCGTACCGGCAGTGAACCTGGCATCCCAACGGCTGGAAACACTAGATGTTGCTTTGGTGTTCGTGTTCCATATTCCACCTTTAACCCATTTAACCCCACTGGCAGCTATTGTTGCCAAAGTGTATCACTGTCATTTTTGACTCACAATAAAAAATTACAGTGTTACTAATCCAACATTTTCCACTTATTTGCTAGTAAACAACATAGACAAAAGTTTTGTCTAAAAAATTTGTTTGCAAGTGCTTCATATTGTATGACATCTTCTGCTTCCTGCTCCTTCCCACTGAAGACACTGCAAATCATCCTGGAAACAGGTAATTTTTAAACATTTCTGATGAACTGCCCCAAAACATATTTGTAATATTTACTCATTCAAGTCTCTAGAGTGACCCTCCATCCAAAAATTATACCAAAGATAAATATTTTTTTCTAAATAGGCTTATTTCTGTGAGTGGCAACAATAGCTGCCAGTGGGCACCAAGCATGTCGCTAACTAAAGGAAAACACTCTCTGCAGGATCACTCCTAATTTACTTATTTAAAATATTAGAATGATGTAAAATGGCTCATTTAAGTCCTCTTAGAATACTTTTCCAAGCTAAATAACTTCACAGGTATTAAGGCCTGTGTGTATAGGATTTTTATACGTTACCAATCATAATTTTCTTGCTAGCAAACGTTAGCTTGTGTCTCACAGTCTAATGATAGCTAGCTAGTAAAAAGGCTAGTGAAGATGTTGATGGGCAGCTGGGGGTGCACTTTTCTTTGCACACAAGAGCTTACATCACCAGTACACACACCTATGCACCCCCACCCCACCCACCACCCACCCCTACATGTAGAGTGCTTTAAAAAGTAGTACACTGAGTAGTACATCCATAAGAAATGATGGATTGTGTGGGAAATATGTCATATACATAAATATGTGTTAGATGTTCTAAAAAACTGTTTGTTGTGATTTTGAGTTTAAAGAAAGTGAATAAAGGAACCAGTTCAAATTGTGTCTTGTTTTGAATTTCATACAGGGGGAACCTGAGTCCTTTCTTATTTTTATGACAATACTATTAGGCTATTACTTTGTTATGACCAGGGCTGGGCCTTGGCATAGGCCACCTATACAATCACATTGAATAGCCATTGGGGGAGGTATTGCTGCTGTGGGGTGCACCAAAATACCAGAGCAGTGTCCTGTCAGTAAGGTCCGTTCTAGCATATCTCCCTCAGCCTTATCTCTGCCTCTCCCAACTCCAGCCTGATCTGTCATCCTAGATAGCTTTGCTCCTGTTTCTTTGCCTGAGTTAACCAAACTAGTTAACTCTATGAAGACCTCTGCATGCCCCCTCGACATCTTACCCTCATCTTTGTTTAAAAGTGCTTTTCAGTCCATCGGTCCCGGCGTGCTCTCCATTAGTAATGCTTCTCTGGTTTCTGGTCAGGTCCCTGCTTACTTTAAGAATGCTGTAATCCACCCGCTTCTTAAAAAAAAAAAAAAAACGATTCTTGACGCCTCTCTCCATAGTAGCTTCAGACCCATCTCTAAACTTCCGTTCATCTCCAAGATCTTAGAAAAGGTTGTGGCTAAACAACTCACAGCTGCTCTTGATGAACATAACATCTATGATAGCTTCCAGTCAGGTTTTCGTAGAGCTCATTCTACTGAAACAGCTCTTCTTAGGGTCTCTAATGACCTTCTGACTCACAGTGATGCAGGGGACTGTTCTGTTCTGGTCCTGCTGGACCTGACTGCAGCCTTTGACATTGTTGACATCACCTGCTACTGGAGAGGCTGAGAGACTGTAGCCTAGTGAACTAGACCAAATTCTTGCTTTGCAAAGAATGGTCTAGGCACTCTCCATTGGAACCTCAGCAGCTCCTACCAGGACTCTGGCTAGCCAATCACAGCTCTCTAGAGGGGTTTCAAACACAAAAAGAGCTGTGATTGGTCCATAATGGTGGGCCAATCATAGTGCTCTATCTGCTTAGTGAACGAATCACAGAGCTTTATCCACTTTGTGGGCCAATCAGGGCACTCTATATGCCTGGTGGGTGGGATGATGCAACAGAGTGAAACAAGAGTATGTCACATTCATTGTCCAGTAGCATGCGGAGATCATTTGAAAGACAACGGTAGAACCCGCCCCACAACCGAGAGCTGTCTATGGAGCGTGGCCAGACTAGATAATACATTTATTTAGTCTGGCTTGCCAGGCTAGAGAGACTGGGTAGGCCTATCAGGATCTGCTCTGGAGTGGTTCTCCTGTTATCTTTCTGAGCGTTCCTTTTCTGTGGCCGTCTCCAAGTTTAGGTCCTCCACCACCTCCCTTACCCAATGTGTCCCACAAGGTTCTGTGCTGGGGCCTCTGCTCTTCCTCCTCTATCTGCTTCCTCTTCAGCACATCCTGAGCTCCTTTAAAGGAATCTCCTACCATCTTTATGCAGATGACATCCAACTGTACATCTCCTTTAAGCCCCATGAGACGTCTAAGCTGCAGCTGTTACACACCTGCTTAGACTCTATCAAAGCCTGGATGGCTGGAAGCTTTCTACAGCTGAATGAAGATAAGACTGAGATCCTCATCTGTGCCCCAGACAAGCTGGTTCCCAAAGTCAGAGACTCTCTTGGTCAGCTTGCTTCTCATACCAAACCTTCCATCAGGAATCTTGGTGTGACCTTTGACCCTGCTCTCACACTGGATTCTCATGTCAGTTCTCTTGTTCGCTCTTCCTTCTTCCATCTCTGAGTCCCATTCTGTCCTGCTCTGAACTTGAGACAGTTCTCCACACCTTCATCTCCTCACGCCTTAACTAGTATAACTCTCTTTTCACGTGTCTGAGCAGAACCTCCCTGAACCGTCTACAGGTGGTTCAGAATGCCTGTGCTCGGCTTCTGTCCAAGTCCTCCAAACACACCCACATCACCCCGCTTCTTCTCCAGCTTCACTGGCTGCCAGTCAACTTCAGGTTTCATTTCAAGATCCTGGTTCTGGTCTATAGGGCCTTACATGGACAAGCACCATCATACATTGGTGATCTTCTTAGTCCCTACACCCCCAGCAGCTCGCTGTTGTGGACCCACCGCCTTTAGGAGCTTTTCCAACTACTGTAACCCACATATGCTCCAATGAGGAGCCAGGAGACCTGGAGATGAATCAACCAATCCCTGGGGCAGATGCTGTTGAGCTAGTCAACATAGATGTGGTGTGGCAGCCATGTTTGAAGATCAGAACAGCTGGGCCACTGACGTATACCCTGTGGTGGGACAGCCATGAGCAGCAGGTGACTTTAGCCTCTTTTAGCTCTAGAGTGAATGTGAGTGTTTTTTTATAGCATTAGCATAAATGTTTACCACAGCTAATGCAGCAAAAACTGATATTCTTGCTTTCAAATCACCAGTTCCCGCGTTTGAAAATCTGCTTTTCTCGCACAAACCTGCAGCCATTTTACCTCTCATTCAGCTGAACATGGAAAACACACACACACACGCACGCACGCACGCACGCACACACACACACACACACACACACACACACAGCTTTTCAAGAAAAAATGCATCCTACCTGGACACATGGTAAATGTGTCTCTGGTTGGGACAAAATTGTGATCTTATAAAAGCTCACCCAAGTGAAATCCTAAATGTCATAAATTAATGTGATGGAACACCCTCCTGCCCTCATTAGTTCATACAGACAGACAAACAGACAGACAGACAGACAGACAGACAGACATTGCTCAGCCTGACTCTATCCCCTGTCCGGGCCGGCACACAAGCTTTTATCAGCCCTGGCCCAGATGGCCCAGATGACACCTCCACTGATGAGGAGAAGCATGGCAAGGGAGGGGAGAGGTTGGATGAAGGCAAGAGGAAGGGTGATTTGGGCAAGTTAAGAAAAAAATAAATAAAAACTACGAACACAAAGAAGAAACTCTCCTTTTCCTCTAGAAACTAGAACTGCTGGTAGAAAACCTACTTCACTGTAATAAAATAGACACTTAATATTTTCTAGATGTTAATTCAGATAATGAAAGCACTAAACCAGAAACAAGATAATTTAGCCATTAGTGACTCCAGAGTCTTAGCTCTGGTGAGTTATTGTACATCAATATAAATTAAAACAATAAAACAGTGTGTGTCCAGCTGTTGTTCCTGTGTAATCCCTTACAAAAACACCAAACGTGTTATTAACTCATTCACTGCCATTGACGACTAAAGTCGTCATTTTAGATCCAACCGTTCACCACCAATAACGAGTAAAGTCGTCATTTGCATTTTTTTACTGTTTGAGCATCGGAACGAGCCCCCGCGCTTAGAGAACAAACATCTCAGCCCTGAAGCCGATCTTCATCCACATACGTCACAGATCACATGATCAGTAAGCAACACATCCATGTGTTAGGAGATCGTTTTGGGCCGTTCCGGTAAAAAAAGTGAGGCGCGAACCGGAAAAGCGTCTGCCGATCACAATTCGACAACGAATTATGAAAGAACGGACAACGCTCGAAACACGCGGCTTCTTCCTGATGTAAGAGGTGAGTC